CGACTCTAGAGAGCCTCTGCAGCCTGGTCTGACCTAGCAAATTCTAACCCTGTCCAAATTGGGTCAGCATGGGCTGTGTTGTAACCCACCCATGTGGCTCGCTTGATTTAAAAGCTCATATTATTTTCATCTCTGGACCCAGTCAGACCATGTTCCCTGGAGAACGTTCCAAAAGTTGAATGTTCTCACATAGGCCAAACGGAGGACACAGCCATTAAACACATAATAACAATAATGGCCAATAAAAATGGGAACTTGATACTCACCTTATAGATTCTTTGTGTCTTGATACAAGGCTGTTTGGTCTTTCCTAATGCTATCTTAACATTGTAAATACTACCTCCCAATCTATCTGCACAGTAATGTTTTCAAACAATCTGAAGCCACAAGCTGAAAAGGTATCTAAATGCCTAAAATCCTTTAAAACTTCTAATTGCCTTTTAAATACAGGTCTGCATAACTGTGAACTAGAGCTACAATCAGGAATAAAGTGCTAAACATGTTCCTAATTTTAACTGTACAGCTGCCTAGCCAACATCACAACTTGTAGTCCTATGAAGCTATAGTTATGATCAGATTTCAGAGAGGAAACTGAGTTGGAAAATACCCATTTAAAATAATGCCTGGGAAATTTGGATGGACATATTAAAAAAAAAAAAGGAAAGGCTGAAATGATTGTCTCTGCTCTAAAGTGCAAAAAGTCTTGTTCTGTACTACAGAGAAAGTGCATATTCTCTTGATAGAAAGACTCTTCATATGACTCTTCTCATTCAGATATATCATAAATATTAGACCTATGTAAAGTGGCCTGTCCTTAATCCAACAAATATTTAATTATTCATGTGAAAGAGTAATCATTTCAACAGAAGCGGTTTAGAAGCTCTAAGCTAATGGCCATGAATGGCCTGATACCCAAGTCACTCTAGACAAGGTGGGACCCCAAATCCCCCCAGAGTAGTCTAACCAGCTCTGCATAAAAGGGATGGTTTTTTGTGTTGAGTCTCTGCACTCAGACACTATTAATACATCTAAATGCCTTCTGAACCAGGTCTGCCTTGGCGTGGTACTGGAGGTAGAACAAAATTACCTAAGCCAGACCACAGTCTTCTATCCAGGCCAGGCTAAACTAAGACTTAAGAGCTTTAAAGCATCATAATGATAGCTCTTTACTTCTTCCCGCAGGTGCTTCTACCTCCCGTTACAGGAGTAGGTGATAGAGCAGATGGACAAAGTTGAGGCTGAAGCTTTTCTGAAAAGATCTCATCCTAGGCCAGCCCTGATGTGACTGCAAATCACAGTGTGGCTCTCTGTTCTGATCCCAGTGTTTTCCTTTTTGTTCCTAACCATGTAAGAGGGAAAAACCCAGTCTTCACTCCCTGTGATAGATCAGCACCAAGAGCACCAGAGTGTGGAGATGAGTACCCATACCATTACATTTCTGAGGCTGTTTAGGTTCTTGAAAAGCTGCAGTCGGTACTGTGCAAGCATTCAGTTTGCAGCTCATATCCTGCACTTCAGAGATTGTAATGGATCCACTAAAAATGATAGATCAGAGCACTGCCTGGTGCCCAGTTTCATAGGTTCTTCTGTATCTATTAGTTGCTAGTTATTTGGCAGGAGTAGTTTATCCCTGCTAATGCCCCAAACATAGCAGTTTGTATCTGATAAAAATTGGAAAGAGGAAAACAAAATGCAAGACTTTTAGTAAAACGGAAGAAAGCGTAAAAATTAAGCATTTTATAAGCATGTAGGGGAACAGAAATTCAAAGATTGGTGTGAAGAGCAGGAGGAAGGGCTGCAGGAGCAAAGAAGTAAGGAGGATACTTTAGAGGTAGGAGAGGGGGAGTATCTTATTTCAGGCATCTGTCTAGAAAGTGATCAGCAGATGGAAGGTTCGTAACATCTGGCATTTAAAGAAAACGTCAATATTTAACAGGATTTCCTCTGCCTTTCAAAATATTGATTTTTGAAAATAAACAGCCTCTAAAGAGCACGTACATACATAAGAAAACCCCTCAAAAGCAAGCTAGCTACAGTGCTGGGTCTTGGCACAACACACAGCTGTCTCTAATGTGGCTACCACCTGCCCCAAGGGTAGATTTAAACCTTAAAGACTAGAAATTGAGAAACAGTTGTCCTCAGCTGATCAGGTCATATGACTTCCATGATTCAATCTATCCCTTAAAGTCCATCTGTAATTCCCATGGGCCATGGGCAGAATATGCGTTACATGCATCAGAAAATCCAGTACGGGGCTTGTCTGTCAGGGCTACAAGCAGAAAGCAGCCTCTCACATTCTCCACTTTGGATTTTAACGCAGCTGAAATGAGCAGGATGTCCTACATTTGCATGCACCTGCTACAAACACATCATGCCTCCTGCTCCTGTCACAAGCAACAGGGCAGAAATGGAGCACATGCTGCTGCTGCTCCATAGCGCTCATGGGCCTGTATTTCCTGCCTTTCCCTGGTCAGGCAGAAAGGAGCAGAACTGCAAAAAGCTGTTTTGCTAAAAAAGACGTATTTAGTGTGGTCCATAGCTCACCTGTGCTTACACGAGCTCTCTAGGCTGGGTTGGTTACTCTCCTGAAACTATTATATACTTAGATACATAAAAATATTTATCAGATCAGGGACCAGAAAAAAAAATCCCAGCAGGGTATATTTATCTATTCTTATAGTAATTATATGTTTCTACATATGTTTCTACATGTACATGTTTCTCCGATCTCAGTGATTCTGTAATATAGAGAGATATTTTAGAAAAAAGTTGCACTCTTTTAGCAGAATACAACAACGAATCTGATCTCTCCAGTTTCCAAACAAGACAAAATCTCCATCCGCTCAAGCCTGTTAAATCAGTTATGACTATGACCAGAACTGGCACTTTATTCCTATAAACAAGGTTCTAACGATCTATGCTGCTATCTTGGAAATTAATCATAAATACCTTTTAAAACAGAGTACAGACATTTTAGTTATATTCTTTTTCCATAGCAACTTCTAAATCAAGTGTTGCTTCCACATGTTAAGTCAGTGTGGCCAAAACCACCACATGTGGATTAATGTGGATGTTAAAGAGAGAACAATATCTGAGGAAAATGCTTTCTCTTTCAGAAGGGGAATTTCTTTTTCTGTTCCTTTCATTAATCAGAAGTATATGCTTCTTCCAAATTGAAAAAACATGTGCATAGAAAAAATATAACAGGAAACTTGGAGGAAAGAGCCACAACAGGAGGTCATCATTAAAAAATTCTAAGTTTAGAGCTGTAGAAGGCCGGGAAGTGTCATTCACCCCTTAGGCCCTGGTAACAAAGCTACAGTTGGGCTGGAAAAATCTCAGTCATAAACAAATTTCTGTACATGCCTGAAGGGACAGTTAAATGAAATCTGTACCATGTAGCCAAAACTGTAAATTAAATTCTAAACAATCATGCCCCAAAAGAGTCAACAACCTTAGTCCAGAGAAAAGCCAGCTTATTCTATGCACTCTGAGAGCTACTCAGATGTCCCAAATTCCATCTAAGCCCCCGAGCCTAGTGTTTCCTTTTCACTAAATGTTTTTGAAAGCCTGAAGCTAGCCAAGAGAAAACACCAAGCACAAAGACTCATGTACAATTCTGGCCACATTAATAAGCCCTAAATGAAAAGTCTTTTCCCTTCCAAATTTTTTCCCCCGAGTTTTTTTACCCAAAGCTTTACCAACAGGGGCTTTGATATCTCTGCCTAGAAATTAATTATTAAAAATTAAGAGATAGACACTGTCATCCCTCAAGGTCTTAGGCTTTCCTTGTAAGCAAAAAAAAAAAAAAAAAGGAAACAAATCCTTGCAGAGTACAGTGTACAAAAGCCCCAGTAGTGTATAGTTCACTGGAGCAAGGGTAGTTTATTCACAGGTTGCAAGCTTGTATCCCCAGAAGAACGTGTGATGAGTAAATGAACATGGGCCAGCTGAACTGTTTCTTTCTACTTAGCAACTTATCTTCTATGTAATTTCTTTCATTTCAAAAATCTTTCTTTGAAAAGTGATGTGGAACTAACGCAGCAGCTGCAGAACACTGCTGCTGCATACCTGGTTGATTGCACGGGCAGCTCTAGAAAGCAACTGAGGAAGACCAGAGAGCCTGTCTCCTCTCCTAAAAAAAATTGCCAGAATATGTCTGAATGAATAGCTGACCACTAGGAATGGTTGAGCACTGGAGATCACTTTTGAAGATGATTTGAGTAATTTACAAAACCTCACTGCTGCAGCCAAACAAGCTATTTGTAAAAGGCTAGACAAAGAATTTCTTTTGGATTTCTTTCAAAGTTTCTCAGCAGCTGGCCATATACAGAGCTGCTTACACTGAAGATGTATGATTTCTTTCTATGCATTATCTAACACAGTTCTCTAAATTCCAATGTTAGGCAATTTATTCTAATTTATTATCTAATTTTACAGCATTAAAACCAACGACATCATCTTCAGGTTTATTAATTTGACTACATGTTCTGCTCTCCCCCTTCTCTCTTAATGACCTGGAGCTGTGAATAGGCTGTTGTTCTGCCACTACTGGCTATGAATGGCCTGTTAGCATTCAAAGTTAGTGCAGGCACTGGTTGTTTGGCATCCCTGAATTTATGCCCATCTGTCAAAGTGGTTTTGTTCCCACTCAAACAGTCATATGTCGGCTGCAAGAGAGTATGGGCACCAGGTGTAAGTTTAGAGTAGATGCAGCTAGAGTGTTAAAAAGAAAAAAAAAAAAGGAGCAAAAAAAAGTTTTGCTTTGCAAGAAGCCTCTTCTGATAGGAAGTAATCAAAACATATGGAGATTACAGACTCAGATTTGTTGACACTTTGAGGCATTATGCCACAAACAAACGCTTTTATCCTTAAAATGTTTCATTGCTTGAAATTTACATTTGAAAAGCCTAATTAAAGGACAATGTCGTCCCCCACAGAAAATAAGCAACCTCCACAAATTCAGTGGATATCCTTTGAAGTAAGCTGAAAAAGCTTACCCTTACATAAGACTTCATTTTGTTAGTGGTGGGCTGGTGTTTCTTGTTCCTTTAAGCGAGTTACAGGCATTCAAACAAGCAGAGGCTAGGGAAAGTTGTCCCATGAAGAAAAGAAAAAGCAAGTTCTGCTTTTTGGGAACACCATATTCTTTATTCTGATCACATTTTCTGTTCAGAAGAAGAAAAAAAAAAACGTTTACTCCTTTGACAATAAGCAAAGAGAGATTTCTCTAAAACCGTGGGCCACATTTAGAGATTAAGGGCATGGGCATATGTGGTTAGACACTCAGTATCTTGTTTAGTTCTAAGGATTTCTAGGAGATTAAACCTAATAGGAAGTACCCGAGTCTGAGCTCTGACAGAAAACTCTAAATTTTCTCCCTCTTTAGTTATTTCAATAGGAAAAACTTCCTTCCATATCCTACATTCAGGATACCCTCTAATAAGAGAAGGCTCACCTGTTAAACATGCTGAGAGAAGTTGGAAGAGAAACAGAAGGGCAATGGGACTTAGCTGAATAGGATGGGGGAAAAAAACTGTGTAAGGGTAAGTGTAAGGGTAGCACCCTTCAGTTGTACCTTTGGTATGCAGAAAGGAGAAGGTCCTTTATTGTTCCAAAAGGACACAGGAGTTAAAAACATTACCAGGTAATTTAGCTCCAGCATCTGGACCCTTCATGATTGATAACGCCCTGAAGCATGAGAGTGATATCCTTCACAGTTCATATTATGTCCAGCAAACATTGGGTAGTGATAATTTAGGCAGCTGGCCTCACAACTGGTTTAATCTTTCTTCCCATCTGTGCTTACTGGAATCTCCAGTTTTCTCTTATTCTGTTACAGCAAGCGGCAGTGAAAATGATGTGAAGATGACAGCACCTCAATAGGTCAGGTGCTGTGCATCAGGCAGTTTGGAAGGTGATCAGGCTCCTCACTGAGCAGCCAGGCATGACACAGAAGTGTTAGAAAAGCCTCCTAAGACAACTCTGCACAGGTCTGTGAAACAGGTCTGGCACAAAGCTCCTATCTGGTGTGCAACATAGACATAACTCTAGGAGTCTGGGTGCACCCTTGGGGCTTACAGACCAAACAGAGCCTGGGTGTCTTCACCAAGACAGCCCTTAGGGACAATCTGTCTGATGTAGCATGTGTTACTTGGATAACATATGTCATGGTTCTTTGTCCTGCAATAAATTGATCTAGAACTCTGCCATTAAATATTGGAAAAGGGAAAGGAGTACTAAAGGAGTGCCCTCTTTGACTTCAGGGTGAAGAATGGGTGAAAGCATCACTGAGATACTGGACCATACTCCCATTAAGGCAGCAGATCCAGATACAAAACGTCAGATTTGCAAGACAGCTTTGTGTATAACTAGGTATCAAGCATAAAAAAAGGAATCTCAATAAAACCTTGTGGTAAAGCTGTAAGGAAAAATACAGCAAGCAAACATTTTTCTCCCCACATAGAGGTAACTTACAAGCTAACGAGCCAGAAACAGATGTTTGGTATCTTACTTTCAGAATCAGCAGCTCCCTAAAATGATTCCTGAGTTTTGTCATCTTTGGTGCTCTGCTCAAAGCCAACCATTTAGAGGCAGAAATAGTTCTGACAGTACTATGCTGGCTGGTGCTTCCAGCTATGCTCTCTTGCCTGCAATTAAAACACTACGCTTTATATCCTTGTGATAAACAGGAATAAAATTTTTTTTCTTGGCATCCAAACAGTTACTTGCTTCAGACTTTTATGAGAGTTTTAGATATTGCTTAAGAAAACAGGAAATGGAAAAAAGGTAAATAAAATAGAGGTGTTGGAACAATCCCATACTGTCCTCCTTTCATTCTCATGATGGTCAGCTGCCGAGGGGTGCCAAACACTTTCAGTTATGTTAATACAAATCAGAATCATATTAAGGTGCAATTCCCAACTGTAGCTCACACATTAAGATTCCTGAACAAAAACGTGGACAGATGACTCTGAAGTATGTTGGAAAAAGAGGGGGAGAGAGAGGGGCCAGAGAATGTAATTCTTTCACAGTAAGTGGAAGCATTTCTGGATGAAATAGTACTAGCAGTACTTATTAAATTTCATAACAGGATGTTCTCAGCTCAAATATCTTCCTTAGGTCTTGATTTTGTAACTGGCAGTGGCAGAGCAAAACCACTATGAGACCAGATAAATGTCAAAGTTTTACTTACTTTAAATTGCTTTTTCCCTCTAGCATTGCTGCCCCAGACTCTTCGTATTCCTGAGGTTCAGGCACACTCCTACATATCTCACCTCAAGTCACTTCTACTTGTCAGATTCCTGCGTTAGCAGTTCTTAAAATAGCCTTGCAATTTAAATGTAGTTATCTTGTGGGTGTCTGTCCATCTATCCTTGGTCCCTGCCCCTCCCCCGTGCAAAAAAAACCTCTTCCATCCTCTGAGTTTACAGAGAAGGTAGGAGAATCACCTCCACTTTGCACATCAATTAGCTCTAATAAACTGGCATACAATTCTCAGCTTTGTGATAAACCCTTCACAGACAGAGGTTCAGGGCTAGACCTTTTATCTTTTATTGACCAAATCCCCCTTTGAGACTACTCAGGTGCAAACACCAGATGGGTCCCCACCTTCTCTCCAGCACACACTAACCCAGTTAGGAAGGGTTGGAGCCTTCCTTTACTAAAGCAACAGAGCACTATTGCTTGCTTTGGATATGCTAATATTTCCTGGGCCTCCTCCAAACTGTCTCCCTGCCCAGACAGATTGTTAATGACTATTCCCAGAACTGCCTAAGCCTTTAACAGGTTGGTAACTCATTAGGAGGAACAATGTCCCTTTTCCAAGGCAAGGAATAGTTCCAACATCAAAGTTCTGCCTTTCCATACATTAATCCTTGTGTTTCATGCAATCTGTTTGTTGGTGATCACACTTATGCATACCTACATGACTAATGCATATGACTCACTGATGAACATTGATTAAGATCAGACAGAGATAGTCAGACATTTCAGAGATAAGGGGTTTGGAATGACAACTGCCTAAATAAGGGAACAGGATCAGATCATTAGTCTGCTACGATTTACAACAGATATTGTTGTGACCACCTGCAGCGTGCTATTAGATTTTAATAAGGGTTTTTTTCAGGTTTTTCTTTTTCCTGCATTATCAATCTTGCACCGAGGTAATGCTACCTTACTCTCATTTTGGTTATTTTTTGTAGAGAAGCTTTCCTCACATTTGTTAGATGCACCAAAATAAAACAAAACAAAAAAAAAAGAAAAAAAAAAACACCAGAAAACATACAGTTTGATATTTAGCCTGAAAATTAGTAACACATATTAACATATGGGCACAAACAATATAAATATATGTCCAAACAAGTACACTTTACAATATATCCCATATGTGCATGTTTATACGTATACACACATGCAAAATCAAAGGCTGTTGTATTGTGAGAAGAAGTACAGACCATCTTTTACATCTTTTACATCAATAAGTTGGCACAACTTGGAATACTATTTGTTAAGTGTCCAGCTTAAAGGGTATAACATTCTTCCCCTCTGCTCTGCTCTGGCGAGAGCCCACCTGGAATACTGCATCCAGCTCTGGAGTCCTCAGCATAGGAAAGGCATCAGCCTATTGGAGCAGGTGCAGAGGAGAGCCACAGAAATGATCAGAGGGATGGAACACCTCTGCTATGAGGAAAGGCTGAGAGAATTTGGGTTATTCAGCCTGGAGAAGGAAGGCTCTGGGGAGAACTTATTGTGGCATTTCAATACTTAAAGGGGGCTTATAGGAAAGATAGGGAGAGATATGCAGAAATAGTACAAGGGGTAATGGTTTTAACTAAAAGAGGATAGGTTCAGACTAGATACAAGAGGGAAGGTTTTAACAATGAGAGTGGTGAAACACTGGAACAGGTTGCCCAGAGAGATGATAGATGCCCCATCCTTGGAAATATTCCAGGTCAGGCTAAACAGCTCTCTGAACAACCTGATCCAGTGGAAGATGTCCACTGGACATCTGGTCATTGTAGGGTCTCTTTGGACTAGATGACCTATAAAAGTCCCTTGCAACCCAAACTATTCTATGATTCCATGATTCTGACACCGGGCCCTACTGGCTGTGGCAGTTTAGCTTCCTACACTCAGTGCCAGTTCATTGCTAAGACCTGGTAAGAAGGAAGAGCTGGAAGGAGTCTTAGTGCAGGCTCCTCTCTCCTCTCCTTGGAAGCAGCATTTAAGCTGAAGGTCTTGCCCTTTACCATTGTAAGTGGCTGGTCTTGCACCTCTTTAATCCTTGACCCTTGCCCAGTGACTTCACTTTCTGGCTTTTCCTGGGACCTACCTTATCACCACGGACTTGCTAAGCAATCACTGAACAGAGGCTGATCTGAGTCATCATCTCTGATCATGGCCCTGATAGTGCTGACTCAACTTCAGGCCCCTGATTGATGTAGTAATTGCTCCTCACCTGTCACCCTCAGCACCCAGCTCATCTGCCTTCATGGAGCTGCCAGCGGTCCTTGCTCCCCACACTATTCAGCCAAAACATTCATTTGTTTTTAAATAGCAGCTGCTCCCAGGATCTGTCCAGGATCCTAAGCATACAGAGCTCTGCATTACCACTGCCGGTAGCAATGGGATGCTGGACAATCCTACAATTAGTTGCCAAATTAGGATGTCTATTTGAGGACCTCTCTACCTCTGACTTGTTCTGTGCTCACTCCACCTATTGCTTTTCCTTGGGAAGATCAAAGATTACTACATGATTTGGAGCACAAGCAGAACCTTAATTGTATTCCTGGCTCCTCATAATATTAAAAGTTTAAAGAAGATGTTAATTCTACAGCCCTTGCATACATTAGCTGCAGAAGTTCCTTCAGTGCAATTACAGAGAAAGCAGGTGTTTGGTGGTGAGCAGTTTTTCTCTTGTGTCCACTCAAGAAGGTATAATGGCAGCACATATCAAGCCTATTGATTGCAAATGCCAGCTACAGGCCTTACATGGAAACACATCTCAGCTCCCAACAGGTTAGGAGGAGCGTTATACAGCTGTAAGCCAACTGTGAGTCAAGTAGACTCATAGACAAGTAAAAGAGGCTTTGTTGTGTTTTTCTTCCCTTGAAACAGAATTACATTTCATGGATGGTGACATAGAGAAGAGCCTCTACAGAGCTCC